ATTAACTTTGCCTAATACGTAAAAGTCATTGACGATTGAAGTCTAAAATATAACCAAAAGCGAATGAGCAAATGTATGAATTGCAGTTTCATTTAAAAACGAATTTCCAACTTAGACTAGAATATACAGGGTGTCTCAAAAAATGTACCCAAAAGTATATCAAGAGCACAGATAAACCAATCAATATTTTCTGACATTTTTTGCATGGTCATGTAGCCAAAACATGAAAGTTTTCTCCCCAATACACCATTTTTATTTCAGTCTCTTCTTTTTGATGCTTTTACCCTTTACCTTTAACACCACAAAATCGATGTAACATCATATTTCTATGACAGCCTGTATCCTTACTGCTACTTTGTTTATCACATTTGATAATAATTCCGGTGGAATGTTTTGGATTTCTCTTTGGATGTTGCCCTTAATTTGGTCTAGGTCTTTTTGCTTGGAATGAGCATTAAAACATACCTTCAAATAGCCACAGAGAAAGATGTTTGAGGATGATGATGGCAGAAGAAACACAGATAATCATGTCAATTATCAGCAAATGATTCAGGAGTTACCTTCCAGAGTTAGGCAGGCTAGCCTGGAGACCAAATGATATCCAAATGAAAACACAATGGTCTCAAATTGATACACACAACAAAAGCTACACTAGAATCCCAACCAATGCAGTTTTTTGAACCTCTGACCTCTCTGTATAAGGGGGCTATAAGACATTGTGAGGGCCTCCCTATTCACCATATTTGACGGCCCATACTTTTTTCTCTGAGGCTATTTGAAGGACAATTTTTATGCTAAACCCAAGCTAAGAGACCTAGAACAACTTAAGACCAGCATCCGAACAGAAATCAAAACATTCCACCAGAAATATCAAATGTGGTGAACAATGTAGTAGTAAGGATGCAGACTGTCATTGAAATGTGAGGTTACATTGAATATGTGGTGTAAAAGGTAACGGGTCAAAGTATTAAAAAGGCAAAACTGAATTAAAAACTGTGTATAGGGGAAAAAATTTCATCTTTTATCTACAAGACCATGCAAAAAATGACTGAAAATGTCTGAAAATATTGATTGGTTTGTCTATGGTGTTGATATACTTTTGGGTACATTTTTTGAGACACCCTATATTCTCTGAATTTGAGCTAAAACGTAATAGTAGGTTTACATCGAGAAAACAACAGACTGGAACACTCCATTTTTTTGGGAAACAGTGAGTACTTGCTATTCCAAAACGATGGAATATATTTATTGAAATATGGGTTATCAAGATTTCATTAATTTGTTGATACATGTTCTTAATTTCAAACATTCAGCGGTGGGGCTGAAAGCCTCTTGTAGAGAATCTTGTTTGGGGATCTTCTGTTTGGCAATCTTCAAAACTTCCATTTTAATAACCTCAAAGGGGGACCATTTTTGGTTTTGTAAGATTCACTCATTTTAAACTGTTAAAAATCGTTGCCAATGTGACGTGCATTTAAAAGGGTATTTTAAATTGTTGAAATGTGATAAATTGAATGTTACTATTTTTCATTCACATACTGAGTAGCAAAGAAGCATGACACTCATTGATGAACGGTATTATTTTCACGTAGTTTTACGAATGTTGAATTGTCACCTTCCAAAGATCACAAACAGAAGGTATAAAAACAACATGTTTCAAAAATGGAGATACGCACATTATTATGTCTGTCAAATCATATGGTTGACATATCATCACTTTTCCTTTTATTCCAATTAGTATTTGCTATTTCCAGAATACAATGAATACTAGAATATAAGAATGGCTGCGACTCCAACTACGCTTGATAATTTTACACCGAGAATCACTGCGTGGGATTTGACAACTCTTAGCAATGTTAGCACAACGCCAAATACAACAACAGCGTATGTACAAGGCTTATATCAAGGCTTTTTCCTTTTAGTTTAGTTGCAAAAAAGTATATAAAACTGGGACTTTTTAAAAACGTGGTCTAACCTTTCACTTACACGACTTATCAGGTTAAAATTAGTGCGACTTTTTACTGACATTTCAAACCCTTGAGGCCCAGTGCTTGGCCGCAAATTGGATTTCTTTCAGGTTTACCACAAATACAACACCAATGCCGAAACCAAGTTCTATATGACATTTTGATGTATCTCTATGGGACACTCTATAGGCTTAATTTCTCACCTTTTATTGCGTTTTACCAAACAGATTTTTTTTAATTTCAGGGAATCTTGTGTTTCATGGGTAGACCTCAACAGATATTTCATGTTCAATCTCATCCCGGCGGTAAACAGTTTTAACTTAGATAAGAATACGATATATCAGCATGCTTTCCAAAGGTATGCAAGTAAGAAAGTTCAATAGTGAAACAGCTTTGAACCAGATGTGATGAACCAGGTGAACTCGATTCGGCTTGAGTCTTGAGATAACATGCATCTACTTCACGCAAAAAACTATTGAGTATCCTAGTTTTTGAAATCTAAAAACATAGTTCCCCAGTGAGTTATAGTGAAATAAATGTCTTCTATTCTTCAAAAGTGCTAAGTAGTATTCTATTTTTACAACTGATCATTAGTTTTACAATGCACGTGATAAACCAAATGATGGCTTTTTTGTTTCGCAACCTTTTAAAAATTGATGCCCAAGTAATAAAGTGTGGGAATTGCATGTCTAAGAATTGACTCGTGATAAACCCTGGAATATAATTTAATCGTACAGATCAGCATATTGTCCCAAGCGGGTCTTGTTGACCCGCATTGTGATAGTAATTCATTTGATATAGCATCGAAAAATTATTAACATGATAATTCTAAATTCTATATACTGACATTATTTAGGTTATTAGACTCCAGATGTAAATCTGGAGTCTATAGCTTTTGTCAGTATTCTTCTTCTTCTTCTTCTTTATTAGACTCCAGATTGAAAATCTGGAGTCTATTGTTCTCGTCAGTTTTCTTATTAGACTCCAGATGAAATCTGGAGTCTATTGTTTTCGTCAGTTTTCTTATTCTTCTTCTTATTATTAGACTCCAGATTGAAAATCTGGAGTCTATTGTTTTTGCCAGTATTCTTATTCTTATTCTTATTATTATTCTTCTTCGGGAGTTTTTTCAGTAACTATGGGGTATCCAGTAAAGACCATAATACAGTTTATTTAGGTTTAGTATCTAGTTGGTGGGAAATTGGGTCAAATTTTTATCTAGGTCAAAGGTCAAGAACTAGGTCAAATCCAGTACTTTGTCACTTTTTTCGATTTTCTCGGTTGTCCTTCAATATTTTTGATCCAGTTTTTTTTCATTGTGTTCCTTATAAAAAAGTAGGAAATCTAGGGTCGATTTAGTTTTTTGATATCTCAAACCAATTTCGAGATATCAGTGTCCGAAAACGAGGTCCAAAAAAAATTTCTCTGAATCAAATGTCCAGGATATTAGTCTATTAGTTTCAGGATTCCGAATCTGAAAACGAAATTTAGATCAGACTTCCGGTTCTGAAGTAATGGCGTTTTGAAAGCTCAAAAATCGCTAAATTTTGAGCCCATGTTAAGTCAATGGGAAAAAAGATTTTTTTGAAGTGAAAAATACGAAATATAGACTAAGTTCAGCTAAATATAATGAAAGCTTTTAAAAGAATGAGACCTCAAAAGCCATCTAGCTTTAAAATTTGGACACCAAAATGCCTAGGTCAAAATCTAGGTCAAATTCAAAGTTTTTTCTTATTTTTGCGATTCTGACACTACACTTTAATTATATTCTTCGAAATTGTGTATACATGTAGCCAAGAGTGTGCTTATAGCGTTAGCCTTTTGCCGTCAGAAAGTATTTTGACCCACTTTTGAGATATGGTGTCCGAAAAGTAGGTCAAAATAAAAAGTTCTCCAAATTTAACATTTGAGTTATGAATTAAGAATAGAATTTTCTCAGAAATCCGAATCTGCAAACCAAATTTCGATCCGGTTCCGGTTCCGAAGTTACGGCGTGTCCAAAAAGTAGGTCAAAATAAAAATTCGCCAAATTTAATGTATGAGTTATGAATTAGGGGTAGAATTTTGTCAGGAATCCGAATGTTTCAATCAAATTTAGATCCGACTTCCGGTTCGGAAGTTATGGCGTTTTGAAATTTCGGAAAATCGATCTGATGGTATCCTGATAGAAAGTCAAGAGTAGAGAAGAAAATATTGAAAAATTCATCCATCCTTCCTATCTGATCCTATCCTATCATATCCTTCCTTCGTATCCTTTCCTTCCTATCCTTCCTATCCTCTCCTATCATATCCTTTCTTCCTATTCTGTTCTATCCTATCCTTCTTTCTTATTCTATCCTATCGTTCCTTCCCATTCTATCCTATCCTACCTTCCTGTTTGATCCATCCATCTTATTCTGGATGACTCAGCTTATTCTGGATGACTCGGCTTATTTTATATGACTGGGCTTAAAAAAGTCTGGATCTGGAGTCTGAAATTGAACTTCGTTCAATTTCCCAAGTCTAGTTATTATTATTCTTTGGGAGTTTTTTCAATAACTATTAGGTATCCAGTAAGGACCATAATACAGTTAATTTAGGTTCAGTATCTAGTTGGTGGGAAATTGGGTCAAATTTTTATCTAGGTCAAAGGTCAAGAACTAGGTCAAATCCAGTACTTTGTCACTTTTTTCGATTTTCTCGGTTGTCCTTCAATATTTTCGATCCGGGTTTTTTTCATTGTGTTCCTTATAAAAAAGTAGGAAACCTAGGGTCGATTTAGTTTTTTGATATCTCAAACCGATTTCGAGATATCAGTGTCCGAAAACGAGGTCCAAAAAAAATTCTCCGAATCAAATGTCCAGGATATTAATCTTATAGGAAATTTTCTCAGGATTCCGAATCTGAAAACGAAATTTAGATCAGACTTCCGGTTCTGAAGTTATGGCGTTTTGAAAGCTCAAACATCGCTAAATTTTGAGCCCATGTTAAGTCAATGGGAAAAAAGATTTTTTTGAAGTGAAAAATACGAAATATAGACTAAGTTCAGCTAAATATAATGAAAGCTTTTAAAAGAATGGGACCTCAAAAGCCATCAAGCTTTAAAATTTGGACACCAAAATGCCTAGGTCAAAATCTAGGTCAAATTCAAAGTTTTTTCTTATTTTTGCGATTCTGACACTACATTTTAATTATATTCTTCGAAATTGTGTATACATGTAGCCAAGAGTGTGCTTATAGCGTTAGCCTTTTGCCGTCAGAAAGAATTTTGACCCACTTTTGAGATATGGTGTCCGAAAAGTAGGTCAAAATAAAAAGTTCTCCAAATTTAAGGTTTGAGTTATGAATTAAGGATAGAATTTTCTCAGAAATCCAAATCTGCAAACCAAATTTCGATCCGACTTCCGGTTCGGAAGTTATGGCGTGTCCAAAAAGTAGGTCAAAATAAAAATTCGCCAAATTTATCGTATGAGTTATGAATTAGGGGTAGAATTTTGTCAGGAATCCGAATCTTTAAATCAAATTTAGATCCGACTTCCGGTTTGGAAGTTATTGCGTTTTGAAATTTCGGAAAATCGATCTGATGGTATCCTGATAGAAAGTCAAGAGTAGAGAAGAAAATATTGAAAAATGCATCCATCCTTCCTATCTGATCCTATCCTATCCTTCCTATCTATCCTTCCTTCGTATCCTTTCCTTCCTATCCTCTCCTATCATATCCTTTCTTCCTATTCTGTTCAGTACCTTCTATTCTATCCTATCCTTCTTTCTTATTCTATCCTATCGTTCCTTCCCATTCTATCCTATCCTACCTTCCTATTTTAATATCCATCTTATTCTGGATGCTTCAGCATATTCTGGATGACTCGGCTTATTTTAGATGACTGGGCTTAAAAAAAGTCTAGATCTGGAGTCTGAAATTGAACTTCGTTCAATTTCCAAAGTCTAGTTATTCTTCTTATTATTCTAACCCAGTTTTCTCAATAACCATAAGGTCTTCAGTAAAGTCAATCATTTGGTCAATTTAGGTTCAGTATCTAGTTCTCCGGAAATTGGGTCAAATTTTTATCTAGGTCAAAGGTCAAGAACTAGGTCAAATCCAGTACTTTGTCACTTTTTTCGATTTTCTCGGTCATCCTTCAATATTTTTGATCCGTGTTTTTTTCATTGTGTTCCTTATAAAAAAGTAGGAAACCTAGAGTCGATTTAGTTTTTTGATATCTCAAACCGATTTCGAGATATTAGTGTCCGAAAACGAGGTCCAAAAAAAAGTTCTCCGAATCAAATGTCCAGGATATTAGTCTTATACGAAATTTTCTCAGAATTCCGAATCTGAAAACGAAATTTCGATCCGACTACCAGTTCGGAAGTTATGGCGTTTTGAAAACTCAAAAATCGCTAAATTTGGTGCCCATGTTAAGTCAATGGGAAAAAATATTTTTTTGAAGTGAAAAATACGGAATAAAGACTGAGTTCAGCTTCATATAATCAAAGCCTTTAAAAGAAGGAGACCTCAAAAGCCATCTAGCTTCAAAATTTGGACACCGAAATGCCTAGGTCAAAATCTAGGTCAAATTCAAAGTTTTTTCTTATTTTTGCGATTCTGACACTACACTTTAATTATATTCTTCGAAATTGTGTATACATGTAGCCAAGAGTGTGCTTATAGCGTTAGCCTTTTGCCGTCAGAAAGTATTTTGACCCACTTTTGAGATATGGTGTCCGAAAAGTAGGTCAAAATAAAAAGTTCTCCAAATTTAACATTTGAGTTATGAATTAAGAATAGAATTTTCTCAGAAATCCGAATCTGCAAACCAAATTTCGATCCGGTTCCGGTTCCGAAGTTACGGCGTGTCCAAAAAGTAGGTCAAAATAAAAATTCGCCAAATTTAATGTATGAGTTATGAATTAGGGGTAGAATTTTGTCAGGAATCCGAATGTTTCAATCAAATTTAGATCCGACTTCCGGTTCGGAAGTTATGGCGTTTTGAAATTTCGGAAAATCGATCTGATGGTATCCTGATAGAAAGTCAAGAGTAGAGAAGAAAATATTGAAAAATTCATCCATCCTTCCTATCTGATCCTATCCTATCATATCCTTCCTTCGTATCCTTTCCTTCCTATCCTTCCTATCCTCTCCTATCATATCCTTTCTTCCTATTCTGTTCTATCCTATCCTTCTTTCTTATTCTATCCTATCGTTCCTTCCCATTCTATCCTATCCTACCTTCCTGTTTGATCCATCCATCTTATTCTGGATGACTCAGCTTATTCTGGATGACTCGGCTTATTTTATATGACTGGGCTTAAAAAAGTCTGGATCTGG